AATACGAGAGCCAATAAATGAGAAAATTCGACTCACTCTCACCTTAATATCACAAGTTTAAAATGTACAGAATTATCAGGGTCTATTTACAGGTAGCTTTTCAGCATTAAAATTCGTTGCACTCGGTTAAAACAATGTTTAAATTGTATTTAAATGCTAATTTAATTGCTAAATTAAAACATTGTGCTCCTGGCGGAGTATCAAAATCGATGTTCCAATAAAGAAACTTGAACTTAGAGATAATGCCAATTAACCAACGCACGTTTGAGTATTGTCATAAAGAAAAAATATTGTTAGTTTGCATTTATCAGTACAACGCAATAAATCACACGTAGTGCTGCAGTAAATTTTACAATTCCAAACAGTCAAACTTTGCAAATCTTTAAAGTAAAGTTTTAGACTACAAAGATAACTAAAAATTATTTTTTAATGTTTTTGAAGAAAAAGCTGTTTACTTCCTTTATGTTAAAGGCCACTAGACCAAATAATCACATAAGTGACCCTCACCTAACGCTTTAGCTGCTAATGATTTTCAATTAAACTGGGGTTTATAATTAAAAACAATGTCTTTATTAACAGTAAACTTTAATAATAGTAAAAATGTAAATAAAATTAGCTTTTAAAAATCAAATTAATTGTCATAAAGATTATGAGTTTTCAGTGTTTGCGCACTCTGGCATTATTGACCTCAAAAGAGCGTGTTGCAATAGTACATTTGTAAAAATGTTTCCTATTTAACACTAAAACGTATGAAAGTTTTCCTACACGTATAAATAGCTTTTTACAATTGTTTGAACAATTTTATAAAAACAACTTGTAAAAATGAAATGTAAGTTTATCAAAAAAAACAAAAAACTAATTTTTGTTTTGTTTTTAGCCGAAAAGTTGACCTTTATTGTGCTTGTGGTGTCTGTGCTGTTGTCTAGTCTCCTTCAGCAGTGCAGTTGTCAGCTTTTGGAGTCTGCTGAACAGATGAAGCAGTTGAGGCAGTGGAGCCCTGTGCTGAAACAGTATGAACCACTTGTTGAGCGATATGGGTCAAACATGGTCAACTTTCTGCTGTGCATGGGCTACAAGTGGGCACAGAACTGCGTGACCCCGACCATAACATGTGCCGCAGTGCCCAATCCAGTCGGCTGCATAGCGTTGATCGTCTGCGAGGGCGTCAACACGGTGATATGCGCTTCAAAGCACTTCTTTAACAAAACACTTGATGCTAATTAGCGAGTCGATGTTTTTNTCTGCGAGGGCGTCAACACGGTGATATGCGCTTCAAAGCACTTCTTTAACAAAACACTTGATGCTAATTAGCGAGTCGATGTTTTTGCTCAAAGCTGGCTTTAATCAGTTTTATCTAATAAAATCATTGATCTACTTCTGTGAGTGATAAGTGTGAAAATAGAGTTTTTAAATCCCCCAGCCGACAATGTCATTGACACCATTTTTGGCAGTGTTTCTAAATTTTAATTGGTTCCAACATTAACAAAAATAGGTCAAAAACCTGAGCCACTAAACTGACTATATAAAAGAACAAATAAGTCCATTTTTCAGAGTCATTCCACAACTCAATCAACAAAAATGAAAAGTAAGTCAATTTGATTTAAATAAAAATTTATCTCATATTGATCTGTTGCAGCTGAACTGCTTTGCTGCATTCTACTCATAATGTTTGTCATCAATGACACAGCAATGGCGTTTATTCCACTAAAGTTTAAATTTCCAAAAAAGGATTCTGGAGATGACAATAAAAATCCACTTAATTACAGCAGACCTTCCTTCTTCAACGACTTTTCACAAAGATTTCGCAATTTAACCAGTTTATTTCCTAAAATCAATTTTACAGTTTTATTAGATGTTCATGACTGACAAAAAGCGTTCATCATAATTACCACATTAAAAGTATTCTCTGAACTTTCGCATAACAGCGACCTGGGAACATTGTTTATTTATAATTTGAAAAAACGTAATGCATAATTTATTTTTCATAAATCAATAAATTGAAAAATAGTTTGCATTTTTCAAATATCCAGTTTACAATTGGCAAACAAAATGAGAAGTAATTACTGCATTTTTGCTCCCCAAATAAAGTAGTGGTTGCGTATAATTAACATGAACACGGTGCTGATGTAGTAGAATATCTGCAAAATTATTGCTTATATAAACTTTAAATTAAACAACAGCAAACAAAAAAGGTACCAGTTCAAAGGTACTTGACTGAATTTGGCATTCATTGAGCAGGTGAAAACCGATTCGAGAGAATGCTTGGTAGTTCTGGCAATTGTTGTCGACCTAACCAATGAAAAAAAATAGTCATTTCAAAAAGACTTCACTACCAAAATACCTTAATCCGATCAAGCAAACTAAAAGTTGAAGTGCCAAGTGTCGTATAGATGAGGCAGAAGGAGTTGTTGAGTTTGAAAATCCGTCCATTGTTGTGCACTATGGCCGAGCAGGCTGCAGTGACGGCGAGCAGTGTGCTGCTGAGGATGACGCAAAAGAAAAGAAAGAAGGTTCGGTAGTACCACTCCAGCTGACTAGCCACAAAGTAGTGCGTAAAGGCCATGTAGCAGATGAGCAGAATGTGAAAGGCGTACACCAGGGTCAGCAGGGGAGACCAGAAACGGTTGTGGGCGCTGATCTCGGTGAAGAGTCGAAGAAGGTGATTACCGCCGTTCAGTCGATTGAACCTTAACCAAAGCAGACGACACCTTAGTTCAAGATCTTCTTTCTGTAAAACGGTCTGTTTCTTCAGTAGATTTCTGACTTCAGTGACCAGTTTTCCAACCAGTTCCTGAAGCTGGTGCAAGTAAAAGTTTTGTCGCCGAAGAATGTACAGCGCAGTGAGGATAAAGTAACAGATTAGGAGGACATTGGCGTAGGCAGTGTACAGCAGCAGTAGTGGAAGAAGCAGCAGGTAAATAAGGTTTCGCAAGAAAAAATTTGATGGTGATGATGATGATGGGGAGGAGAGAGTCCAGTGGCGAAGTAACTGCCACAGGTGAAATGCTCCAAATTGCAGAACTGAAGAGTTGTAAAGAGCTGTCATCAGTCGGTAGGCCTTGGCGCGAATGTGTAGCAAATCACGCAACAGTGCTTCGCTCATGAAGGTTTCTTCTTGATTGACTTCATCTTTATCAGCATTTGTGCCTAGCAGCTTCACCGAGTCTCTGAAGGGATCTACTTGAACAGTCAGTACCGTTGAGCAATGGTTTCCAGTTTTTCTGTGGGTAGCTGGTAAAACCTTTTTAGAACGAGTAAACAGGTTGAGGTAAATGGTGAGCTGCATGGTGATGCCAATGTACAGCAGTGTGCCACCGTAGCTCCAAAAATCCTCCGGCAGTATCTTGCTGGTAAACAGTTCAGCGTGGTACTGAAATTGTAAATTTTCTGTGTAAAGCACGTAAAGAGTGTCCACATAGATTAGAGAAATTAAAAAGAGAGGAGGTAAAAAGTGATAATTAAAACGACTAAAAAATGATCTTTGTTGTCCTTCTTCATTGAGCAGATCATGTTTTTCTGATTTTTCGTTGTCAGTTATCACTTTGATTGGATCAAATGCATGGCAAAGAACGTCCAAGTGGACGCTAATCACTTTAATAATAGCACAGATTTTAAGATAAATACAAATCAGAAAACGATGACAAAAAGAATATATTTCAGGCATAGTAAAGAGTTCTTTTGTATTACTCTCTGCAAAACATAATATGGACTGAAAATGATTGGTAGTTTCTCTAATTTTGTCATTTTTATTTATTCTTTTGTTTATTTTTTAAACTACTACATTGTCAAGTGCGGCTTCCTATGTTTAATTTTATGTGAAAATAAATGTTTCAAAAGGAAACTAAATAACAAATAATTTATTGGAAAATTTTTTTTTCAGTGTAAAACTAAACTTTAGGATATTTTTAAAGTGAAAATGCTAAAAATATGCACAGACAGTTTTATCGTCAAGAAAATTTATTAATGAGTCGTGATATTTATGATATTCAGTGCCAATAAAACAAGATGGAACAGGATGGACTTTAAGTTAGGCAAAGAATTTGAGAAGTGCACAAGCTACAAACACGAAACCACCAAAGGTTGTGACTGATGAAAAAATATCAAATTAGATTAGCTCGAAAAATGACACACAGTCAGACTTACTTTTCTTGACAGAGATTATCTGAACGATAGCCCTTGACCCGATAACGGCAACAGCATTGCAGATAAAATAGCCTACAAATGCGCCCAATCCGACGGCCCAAACTCCCTTTAAAAAAGGTATGGTAAATTAAAAAAAAACTTTGAAAATGATCACTGATCTTTCTCTCTCACCTCTCTGGCAGCCAACAGAATAGTGCTCAGCTGTGACTTGTCGCCCCACTCGGCAAAGAAGATCAGCGAGAAGACCTGCACAAAGACAAGTGCCTGCTTCCCAAAGAGACTCGTCAGCAGAGTTGGCTTTGCCTCTCCGACGTCCTGTGAAGCGTAAAAGGTTAGTCATGTTTGAAGTGATGAAAAATAAACAGTGTTTCAAGCAGACCTTATTTTCTGAAACGACTTTTTGCGCCTCTTCGTACTCCTCCATGCTCTCCTCTTCGGTCATCTTCAGGCCGTCACGAATCATTTTGATGCCAAATATTAAAAAGAGCGATATTGAAATGTAGTGAATGATCCACGGGGGAATGGAGGTTGTCAGAAGACCAAGGCAAACTAAAAACGAAAAAGAAAAAAGATATATCAAGGTAGTAGTTGATAAGAAGAAAGTTCAGTCTTACTGGAGAGAATGTTCATGACGGTCATGGCGCCCATGGCGCCCAGGAAGACGGCAGCCCGTGATCTCTGCACTGACATGATGCTGGTGATGAAGAAAGTTTTGTCGCCCAGCTCGGAGGCGGTGATCAACGAGGAGGAGGCAATGAAGGAGTTCCAGAAGGTGTTAGCCACAGCGTACGGAGTCATCGTGCCGGTAAGTGGTAGTAAAGCTTCGGTTGATAGACTGAATGAAATGTGGCAAATCAGGTGGAGGTGATGAAGCAGCAGCTCTACGAGTAAAGGTATGTGTGAGTAATTAAAATCGTTGATATAACGATGATGCAGGTGGAGTTGGCGGTAGCACTACGGTGATGTGTCCTTCGCTTATATATTATGGCAGGGAAGAATGGCAGAGATGATTGAGAAGAGAGTTGGTTAGACGATTTCACGGTCAAGCGGTGCGGTGTCCTGAGCCCTCTTCTTCCTCTTCTTCTTCTTCTCCTACTTTGGCAGTGATTGTCACTGTGTTTAGATAAACAAATAAGCCGCCGTCTGATAACGCAGCGTTGTAGTGCCCGCAGACGGACATGTGTTTTTAAAACCAAACTCACGAGATGACCATGTCTGACAATGACCAATGCTCACACACAGACCACATGTGATCAACCCGATTTACCTACCCTTCTTGAATGCGTCTTCGAGGCACCTTCTAACAATCAACAAAATATAAAACAAAGTAAAAGAACTGCAGCGAAGAAGTGAGCAGAAGGAGAGAGTCAATCCCAAAACGGAGAAGTGAATGTCAATGCAGCAGCAGCAGCAGCGGTAGTCTACTCAATCACTTTAAAATATCAAATGGCCAATTGTGCTGATTAGCTGGCAGCAAACATCACAACCAGCCAACAGTCAACAGCTTTCGGTGGAGCCACTCGAGCACTTGTTGCTCTTATCAATAGCTTTATCGATTGCTGGAGAAGGAAACGACGACGGCGGTGACGACCAGTGCTGCTGCTGCTGCAGCTGCTTCAGCTGGCTAAGCAGGCCATTTGATTTAGCCGTTTTAAAGTCTGTTTGCCCACTTGCATTTTGTTGATTAGTCCAAACTGATAGCACCTAGCAGGTTGTCACAAACTTCTCAGTGTCTGCCCTCAAACAATCCTCCACCGGTCAATGGAAATTGTCTACCTACGTCATAAAAGCAGATGACGACGCTTTAGCTCAAGTCCTTATCTCCATCATCCTCAAGCAGTGCTTGGCCAACACTTTGGTATTTGATGGTTTTTTAAAAAGATGGCCAGTCTTGACAATTGGGTACAATTGATAATCGTTTTTGTTGAACACACTTGCAAAGGAAAAACTGTATTATTTCAATAAAAGCCTAGACTGAATAAAAAGGGATTATGTGACAAAAACAAAAAAATTGGTAGAACTAAAAATAAATCTTCAGAAAGGCACAGAGAATGAAAACAAAGCCGCCAAAGGTGATGACCCTGTTGACGGGAATGCGCGTCAGTATTGCCCTCGAGCCGAGAACGGCGAATGCATTGGAGAGGAAAAAGCCTACAAAGGATCCAACGCCGACGCCGTAAATGTTCTAAAACGGAAAATCAAGGCAGGTGTGAAACAAACAAAGTGTTCTTCCAAGTTTACCAACTTACCTCCCTTGTGGCCAGCATGATTGCACTGAGCTGTGCTTTGTCGCCCACTTCGGCGAAGAATATGATTGAGAAAACCTGCAGAAAGAGCAGTGCTCTCTTCCCAAAGAGCCTCCCCAAAAAGGTGCCCTTCTTTTCCACGCTCTGTTTTACACAATGAGAAAAATCAGTTTTCAGACCACAAACCACCATCATCATTCTTCTCTTTCACCCACCTCATTTTCGTTGACCGTTTTCTCCGCCTCGTTGTACTCCTCCAGACCGCCACCGTCGGCCATTTTGAAGCCCTCGTAGACCATCTTCACGCCGAAGATCAGGAAGAGCGCCACGGAGATGTGATGCATCAGGGTGGCGTTCAGTTTGGCGGTGAGGACGCCGAGAAAGACTGAAAACAACAAAAAATGCAAAACTGACCATCACAAAAGCTAGCCACTTACTGGAGATGACATTGTTGAGCGTTAAGCCGGCCATGGAGCCGAGAAAAACCGTCAGGCGGGAATTCTTCACCGCCATGATGGCCGTTATGAAGAAGGTCTTATCGCCAATCTCAGAGGCCGTTATCATGAGCGCCGACGTGAGAAAGGACGAGAAGAAGTTGGTATTTACAGTTGACTCCATGGCGTTTGTTGTGCTGCTGGTGACTGATGACGATGCTTCACTTCACGGTGAAAAAGGTATCACTGTACAAAATTCTATCACCACTACTACTACTACTTCTAGGTGGATATGTGCTGTAAATGAAGCGAAGAGTGGCCGCATGAAATGCACATTATAAATGAAACGTGTCCACGAGACGATGACGGCGGTTAGGGGTAATTATCAACATCATAATCCACTCCAGTAAAGGTTATTGATCAGCTGATGACGATGATGACGATGAGTTTAGTACAGAGTTGTTGCTGCACTTCTTCCTCCTCTTCTTCTTTGTCACTTGTCTATCTGCTCTGCTCTGCACTGATCGTCGCTAGCTTCATCATCTCAACAAGAGAGTGGGAGGTTAATCGCTTTAAAGTGATCAAAGAGAGAGCAATAGAAGTAGACACAAGTCTTGACGATAACAGAGTCTGTGTCCACTGATTTGCTGACTGTCACTCTCCAGTGCTGTACTTTTGACGTTTTTTGTAAGTGACGCCAGAAAAGAGTGCTGCTGCTGATGATGCGCCTTGAGCAAATCTTATTTCACTAAACACTGGAAAGAGGAGTTTAACTTTTTACAATGACTTTAATTATATTATATGAGAGTAGTTTTAAATTATACAGTATAAAGGTGAGAATAAAATACATTTGGAGAGATTGTACACAAAAGAAATTACCGCTTTTTTAGTTTGCCTGGGTCTGCTGACGACGTCCAGGGATCCTTTTTAAGAGGGGATGTTGTTTGAGATGGGGTGATTGAAGTAATCAGCCATCAGACTGAGGAGCATCGATTGCTCGGAAGTCAAGTTAGTTGGCACGACTTTCAGGCTTGAAAAGTATTCCTGAATTTTTTCAAATTTTTCATCAGCATCGGGGAAAGTGACCTCATACTGTTCGCGTGCTTCAGCCATAAACTGATCCAAGTCTACTCCAAGCTTTTTCAAGCCTCCATGAGACTTCATACAGTAAAGATTCTTCGCCATGCACAAGTAAATCTCAGTGATTCGAGGATGGTAGTCACCGTAGACTTTCTTGTACATTGTGAGAATTTCATTTTCAAGCTTGTACAGTTGTTCTCCGAAAATGAGTTTTGGTGTTGAATCGCGAGGAATTAGATTGTCATGCTTACTAGTTTCCCGCTCCTTGAGAAGCTTTTCTAGGCGCTCGTAGTCAAACTCTAAATCAAAAAGATGCTTTAGTGGTCAATCCATTCATAAAGTCGAGTCTGCCTTACCTTTATCAAAGTCGCTGGTGCATCGCTCGCAAGCGCATTCAGGTAGGTACTTTTCCTTCAGTTGCTTTTGGCGCCCTTCAAGATCTTGGTTCAGTTCAATGAGTGAAACGACAATTTCATCGCCAACATTGATCTCCTTGATAGCACGAAGAATCATGCGAGTTTCAGAAATTGAAAAAAATGCATTCGGAACGCACGAATGCTTGAATGCAGCCAAGGACAAGTAGAGGAAGAAGTGGTTGCCATTGTTGAAACGGTTCACAAAATAAGTGGCGTGAACTTGGAGCTTGCAATAGTACTCGAACATGATAGCTCGGTTATACTTGATCTTGAAAGTGTCAAAGCTATAACAAATAGCTGCAAAGTCGAGCATCTTGTCTTCATTTCGCACAAACTGTTCGCAGTGCCATGGCAGATCCTTGAAAGCCATTCCAGTGAGATCGTTGGCTTTTTGAGCCGCCAACCCTTTGTTGTTCTGCAAGACGTTGTACAGGCGAAAGAGAAGTCGGCTGATAGCGCTAGTTAGCTCCTCAAAATTCACCGCGTACACGTTTCGGCACTCGTACTTGTGGGCAAATCGCCAATCTAGATACGAAAAACAAAAGCTGTTGGGTCGGATAGAGAAAAGCTCATCTCTCAATGATACCTTTACGCTGACACTCCTCCGAGCAGTAGTACATGTGTTTGCAACCGGAGCACTTTTTCAGATTTTCCTGTTTACTGCAGTAAAGTAAAGTAACGCTAGATAATGGTTTACATTGGTAGCACTGCTAAACTTACAAGATGCAACTGTCACAAACTTTTCCCTTCACATCTTCGTACACAACGTGGACAAAGGATTCCTTCTCCTCGCAGATCACATCGCCAGGCTTGTATCGAGCGGTCGAGAGTTGAGTCATTTTGCCGGTCAAACGGTGAAACAGAGGTCAAGGTCGACAAAGCGAGGTGTTGCCTGCTCGAAGGTTTCGCGAAGAATGACACGTTGCGTCATTGGCAAGTGACAAAAACCCATTTTTGAGTGCAATTTCACAAGCTGTCCTGTCCACTGTGAACGTTTTCTTGGCGCAAAATTTCAAATGAGCAAATCAAATGAGCTGTCTTTGCTAGCTAATGACACATCTTTCTTTCCAGAATCGTTAGAGCTCAAAAATTGAAAAATTTAAACCAGTATTGCATGGATACTTTTCCTCAGAACTTGATATTGAATACTTCCAGTGCACTTTCAGTACTCCGTTGGTCAACTCTTTCAGGTGTCTCATTTTGGGAAGAAATGCACCGAGAAAATTGCCATTTGCACCTCATTATCTGCGCCCCATGTTATCACTTTCTGTACCGTCTGTCAAGTTCAATGTCAAGGGGGAGAGAGGTAAACACAAACTGGCAAATTGGAAAACTTGAGCCGAAAAGAAAGAGCATACATCCGAATTTGTGCACACATTCACACAAACAACTCACATGGTATCATCCTCCACTGTTTGCTCAGGTGTCAGTGGCACATCAGCGAATGACAGTTCTGTGTAATTCAAGTGTCATTGCTAATTAAGCCATTGATCAGTCATTGTCAGTCTTTCATTCTAACCATTCTAATTGTTTTTGGCTTGGCTGTTGGCACAGCTGGGTCACTTGCTGTCGCTAATTGTCTCTGCGTTGTTGGAATCGCATATATAATGACTTCATTTTAAGAGAACTCGATTCAGTAGCGACTCACACACTTCCCTTCACCAGCACCTTCAAACTTGCTGTCTTTTGCAAAAAGCACAAGCACAACTTTTCAAGTCAGCTATGAGTAGCAGCAATCAACTTCGCTTCACGCTGACGGCGGCCTTTCTGGTCCTGAACATCATCACACTGCTGGTGCCGCAGCAGGCTGAAGCTCAATTTCAGCAGTACGGCGGACAGATGGGCGGTGGCATGGGCGGAGGACAAATGGGAGGACAACGACGAGGCGGATATGGGATGATGAGAAGTGGACAGATGGGCGGCGGTGGGGGACAGATGGGCGGCATGGGCGGCGGACAAATGGGAGGTGGCATGGGAAGAATGATGATGGGCGGCGGAGGTGGTCAGCGACGAGGCGGTATGGGCGGTATGGGCGGTGGCATGGGCGACCCCGGAATGATGGGAGGCATGGGCGGTATGCGTGGAATGAACTTCGGCGGTGGCGGGGGCATGGGCGGTGGTCAGCGAGGTGGACAGCAGTCTGGTGGAAGTGGAGGAGGAGGATCCTCATCAGGCGGTGGATCCTCTTCAGGAGGTGGCGGTGGATCGACCACATCGAGAAGCAGCAGCGGAGGCGGAGGCAGTTCCCACTAAGCCCGTTCATCGTCCCCGTGAATCTTCTTCCTTTATTTTTTGTTATCTTTCGAAACGATTTTTGTTAACTGAACTAAATTGACCCGAAATAAAAAATTTGAAATTTAAAATCGATGCTCACAATCGATTGTCGGTATTGTTTTGATGCGGCTACTTTTTTTTGCTGTGGAAAAATTGAAAATCTGTGTTTTTGTGATCTTGATCCTTTCTGAAAATGGTCATCACCGTGGACCAACTAAAAGGCAAGCTAGTCGACAAGCTTGGTGCGACGCATGTTGTAAGTTGTTTTCACATGTGCTTTTTACGATACATTGATTTCCTCATCATGGTGATCTAACTTTCCTGACAGGAGCTGGAGGACGTTTCAGATGGCTGTGGCGCCAAGTTTGTCGCTAAAATCGTCTCCTACCGGTTTGAAGGCCTCTCCCTGCTGGAGCAGCATCGTCTGGTGAATGAGACGTTGGCCGAGGAGATGGCAAGCATACACTCCTTCCGAATGAAGACGCTGACGCCGGCGAAATTTGCCGAGCAGACTGGCGGAGAAGCGAAACTGGAAACAATGTCCTGCGTGAAGAACTAACATCAGTCAGTCAATCAACCTGCTTCTAAAGATGCTTTTTAATTTGTAATAATAAATGCTAAGCCCTTTTCCCTTTATAAGGATTGGAATAGGGCGAGCCCTTGGGGCAGTTTGAAAGTGAAAAGCGAGCTGAATGAATAGGAGTACTTCGTCTTCTCCTACTTCATCTTCTCGGAGAGCAGCGACTTGAGCTCATGCGAGCCGACGTGGCGCACCCAGTGGTCCTTCACCTGGGCGCTCATCTGCTTGACATTGGCGACGAAGAGGGCGTCCACGTCGACGCCGGTGTGCTCCTTAACCAGCTGGTTCGGGTCGTACTTCAGCTCGGCGTTGTACAGCTTCGCCATGGCGTAGTACGAGACGACGGTGAAGCAGGTCATCGAGAAGAGGTACAGCTTCGTGTTCATGGTTCGGTGTTGCTGCAGCAGGAAGAGAAGCAGTGAGGAGAGCAGAGAAATGAAAAATGTCTTTGAAGAAAGTGAAAAGGGTGCTTCAAAGTTTTGTAATGGGTAAAGAAAGTCTGAACACGTAGAAAATGCTTTGTTGGTGACGATGTACAAAGTTATATTTTCTAAAGTTCTATAATACAAAATGGGCAAAAAGTGCTCTTGAATTTGAATTACACAATATCAATCAGGCGGAACTCGTTGGTGGTCTTGTCCGGCACGACGTGAACGTACTTGACGTATCTCGGCGTCAGCTCCAGGTCGCTCTTCACGTCGACCTTGTTTGTGTAGTACTGCTGCACCAGTGGATTTGACTGGTTGGGCACAAACTTCTCTATGGAGTAGTAGACTGTACCGGCGCAGATGGCGTAGAGCGTCTTGTCGCGAGGATTAATTCCAACCTGAAAACATGAAGAGATGTATTGGTCAGTCTTTTTAGTACAGAAAAGAAACAATATCAACCGTATTTTACATTCAGTCCTGGATGATAGTTCAGACGCCTCTGCGTTCCAATGACATCTCGCTCATCGACCCGATCACCTGGGACCTTTTTCAGTGAAAAGACCCGGTGCACCCTTTTGAAGCCCTTCTGAGACTGGCCAGGACTCTTTGCGAAGCGCACCTGAGCAAACTCTGCAACATAAACAAAAGTTCAATAGTAGAATAGTAATGAGCGCACCAGTTGACCACTCTTACCAGTCTGCCTGATGCAGTCCTTGAGCACAGTATTCGCCGCCTGTCTCAGCCAGATCGAGGCCATCTTCAGGAAGAAGGAAAAATTATCACCGGAGAAAGTGTGTTCACTTCTTCAAAACAAATCAAGTGTGTTCTGTTGTTCTCTGATGATCATGTGCTGCTGCTTCAAACAGCTGCTGGAAGGGAACTTTCCGTGTGGCCGCCGCCGGGAAAAAAGTTGCGGAAAGATTTTAAAAACAGCAACTTCAAATGTATTTACTGGCTAACAGCTCAGTTTCAGATCACATCGTTCTTCTTCTACGGTTGGTCGGATACAAATGAATAATAACTTACAATGGTCGATTTTGTGTACAAAAAGAGTTGAAAAAAGTAAAGAACTGTACAATGGTTATGTGAGGTTATTTGGTGGGGTGTATATTTGTGTGTTTGAAGGCAGACAAAAGTGGTCCCCCCTTTAAAATCACTTCTACTCATCAAAATCATAAGTGTCCTCATTGTCCTCCTCTTCCTCTTCCTCCTCCTCTTCACTTTCCGACTCCACTGCTCGACGCCTTCGCTCGGCTCGGCTCATCTTGGTGGCAGTTCCCGCCTTTGATGCCCTTGCCCGAGTAGGACGTGTGCGAGTGGGCGGTGGCGAAGGTGGTGGCGGCTGCTCCCTGCCCCGTCCACCTCTTCGAGGGCGAGCGCTCGCCTGCTCCTCAATGATCACATTGGCCTTCCGTGGCCTGCCCCGCCGCCCGCCCACCAAGGGGACCGCCTCAGAGTCGGAATTGCCAGCGGCAGCGGCAGCAACATCCCCGGCGGCATCAGCATCATCAGCCGCCCCCTCTCCGGAGGCCTTCTTATCCTGTGCAATGCCCCTGTTTCGCTGCTCCGTCATCTTGGCGAGCATCTCCTCGAGGAGGCTCTTGTTGACGTCCTGCAGCGGCGACGAGGAGAACTTGGAGAAGATGGCCTTGAAGTTGTCGAAGATGGCGTCCTGCGTGACGGCGTGCAGGAAGCAGGGCAGGTTGGAGTGCAGGTTAAAGAGCGAACGCTCCGTCAGCGTCAGCTGGCTCAGGCAGAAGGACAGGTCGCGGTGCTGGCGTTCGTCGCTGCAAAGAAAGAGAAGAAAATTAGGAGTTAACCAAACACACAACCTCCAAACGTCAGCTTACTTTGAGTTGTTGAAGCGCTGGCAGAGCTTCACCACCAGCGTCTCCGTGTTGCGCGCCTTCTCCAGGAGGTTAAAGAGAAAGCGAATCATCTCGTGAAAGTCTGCCTCGGGCATGCCCCCCTTCCCGGCCAGGTTGCTGATGATGTCCGGGAGGAAGTTGTAGATGTAGGCGTTGTTCTTCTTCGCCAGCTCAATGAAGAAGAGCCGGGCGGTGTCGCGAATCACCTCGCTGCGGTCGGTGATGAGTCGGGCAATCATGCTGATGTTGCCCTTCGGCTTGACCATGTCGGCGAGGATGAGTCGCGTCAGCACCTTCAGACAGTTGCTGGCCACCTTCAGCACCGGGTCGGTGAGGCGGTCGAAGATCTTCGCGGTGAAGTGGACGAACTCGTTGGGGAAGCGGACGAGGAGGTCGCCAAAGGCGATGATCGCATTGGAGCGGACCTCCCAGTCGGCGGAACGCACCAGCAGGTCCGCCAGCAGCTCCCGCTGATCCTTCGAGTACTTCAGACTGAGCGCCATAAACTGCGCCAGCGTCAGGCTGGCGGCGATGCGCACCGTCTTCGGGTAACGTAGGCCGGCGCAGTCGGCGGCGATCGCCTCCACCAGGGGAGTGAACTGTGCCAGAATGCCGTTGCCTAGAAGGAAGATAAAGTGAAGTTATAGCCAATCCAATCACACCAAAAAGGAACCTCCACCCACCGTAGAGAATGCCGGTGTTGCACAGTTTGGTGATGCGCGCCTGAATGGGGTCCTCCGTGGAGTTGGGGCCAATGTTCTCCTCGTCGTCGGCGTCCTCGCTGGCCAGCGAGCCGTCGCTTTTGATGCTGCCGTCGCTGGCCATGGTCGTCCGACTCCTGCCGCCGCCTCCTCCCGTCTTCCTTCGGTTCTTCTTGCTCTTCTGCTTCGCCTCCTGCTGCGCCGCCGTCGCCTTCACCTTCGCGTCCTGGCGAATCTTCACCTCCCTCATCAGGTGCAGGTCCAGGTGGATGAGCACGCTGGTGGCGACGTTGCCGAGCAGGGCGACAAAGCGGGCCAGCGTCCGCTCGTCCACTGGCTTGCTCTCGCCGCCGGCGCTGAAGACGCCGCCGCTGCCACTGACGCTGTGTCGGGGTGTGGAGGCGCCGCTGCGTGGCGTCGCCGGTCGCTGAGACATGGTATTACTGCCACCGAAGTTCATCTGTCGGTAGCAGTCGGCGAGCAGTCCCGAGATGATGCCGTTTGGCTGCTGGGCGTAGTAGTAGATGACTTTCACGGCGAGGGCGGCCATCTGGAACCAGTACAGGTCGGCGGAGGTGGAGGCAGATGTGGTGGGCGCATTTTCACCATTCTCCCCACCCTCCCCGACCTCCTCTGGCCCTGGTGGCCTGGCGAGACTGTCCACGAGAATGGCCACCAGTCGTGTGAAGAGCGGGTGGTCGNCACCCTCCCCGACCTCCTCTGGCCCTGGTGGCCTGGCAAGACTGTCCACGAGAATGGCCACCAGTCGTGTGAAGAGCGGATGGTCATTGGGCAGCTTCAGCCACCGCTCGCCGCCCTCAATGCTGGGCATCGTGAAGGTGCACAGGAGGACGTCACAGGTGTTGGCCACCAGGTGGTAGTCACGACAGCGGGGCTCCTCCAGGCTGACCCGCACCAACGTCGAGAGGTTATTTTCATTGTGCACCAGCGAGGGCCGCGCCGAGGCGAGCATGCCAATGAGCATCAGTGCCGCCCGTGACTCCTCCTGGGTGGTGCGGCGCAGCTTCAGCGAGTACCGCTCCCAGAGGACCTGGAGGTGCATCGCCTTGAAGGTGTTTCCCTCCAGGTACAGCTGGCGGATGAGCGCCTCGGCGCACAAGAGCTCGCCCTGGTTCAGCGTCAGCAGCAGCCGCGAGAGGTTGCGCACCTCGCGCAGGGCAATCACCTTGGAGCGCTGCTGGCCACCGCCGCCGCCGTCACCATCCTCCTCATCACTCGCCGCCGCCTCTTCCTCCTCTTCTGCGCCACGACCTCCCCTCAGCCGGTCGTCCGCCTCGTTGAGGTAGATCTCCTTGAATGCCTCCACCAGCTTCTCCTTGATGGTCTTCTCATTGCTGAAGATGAGCTTCAGCATCTGCTGCATGCCGATGATCGCCTTGTCCAGCTGCAGCTTAAAGGCGCACTTGAAGAAGGTGATCGCTTCGAGGACGTCCGGCAGGTTCTTCGACTGCAGCAGCTGGCAGATGCGCGGCACCGCCCCGGAGAGGGCGCTCAGAAAGGCCTGCGCCTCGCGAATGTGCGCCAGGACGCGGTGCAGCGACAGGTGAAAGGCCTCCATCCGCTCAATGTCCGCCATCTCGGCGGCCATGTTCCCGGCGTGCTCCGCCATGAAGCGCTCCAGCAGGCCGTTTTGGTTGCTGTTGTCGTTGTTATTGTTGTCATTAACAGGCTGTTCGCCGGTCCCCTCCAGGGCGGGGGCGTTGCCAAAGTCGATCAGTGGAGCTAAAAAAATATTCAAGTTAAAAACATGTCCAAAATCAAAAGCCCATATTTCAGCTTACCGAGAAAGACGCGCCGCGCCAGAGAGAGGAGGTAAGGCAGCTGCTTGCTAAAGTCCACAGAAAAGTTTCTGCAACAACAGAAGCGTTAGAATGGTAACGGTAAAAACCACTAGCTACAATCCACTCTGCACTTACGTGATTGCCGACAGAAAGAAGTGATCCTCAAAGTCGAGTGGCGCTCGATCCGCCGCCGACTCCCCCGAGTCCTCGTCCTCCATTCCATTGGTACCATTATCCGCCTCCCCTTCCTCCTCCTGCTGCCGTTTGCCGTACTGAAAGATGGCCTCGTTGGGGTAGAGCGACTTGATGGCCACCAGCAGGCGCAGCGCCTTCTCAAACTGGCCCTCCCTGAGGAGGCCCCGAAAGGCGGCAAATGCCTGCTCGGCGCTGCTCTCCGCCAGCACCTCCTGCTGCTGCTCCAGGCCCGCCTGCAGATCGAGGTCCTTGCCCGCTCGTCGCCAGAATCGCAGAAAGTCCGTCTCCAGCTCTTCCCACTGGTTGGCAATTTGGGACATCAACTTGGCCCGCTTCGGAGCGCTGCTGCCGTCTTCGTCGTCGTCGTCGCCTTCATCCTCTTCATCCTCAGCTTCCCTGTCCTTTTTGGCATTTTTTCGCTTTTCCCTCGCCAGTCGCTTGGCTTGCCGTTGCCGATTTCGTTCAGCGGCTTCCTCGTCATCTGCATCAGCGCCCTCTTCCTCCTCTTCCTCCGCTTCTTCTTCCTCCTCATCTTCATTTCCCTCACCACCGGCGTCCTCTCCGGTCATCCTCATGGCCTCCTCGAGCAGGCGGCACTGCCGCAGTCTGATCACCTCCAGCGCCTCGGCGTTCTTCTCCACCGCCGACGAGTAGTAGGCCTTGAACTGCGCCAGGTCCTGGCTGCGCATCAGCGCAAACGGATTGTCCTTCACCGCCTGCGTCAGAAAGTGGACGGCGTTCTTGCGCACAAAGCAGGTCTTGTCGTCGAGGCGGCCAATGATGCAGGTGGTAATCTCATTCAGCTTGGCCATCGGAATGGCGCCCGCCTCCACCAGGCGCGCCCACAGCTGCAGCACCTTACTGCGCGTGTAGCCGTTCGAGTCGTGAATGTGCTCGTAGAGAAAGTTCAGCAGCTTGCCCTTGATGGCAATGTCGCGGTTCTTCGTCGGCATGTGGAACATCGTCAGGATGATGTGGGCGATGATCTCGAGGACGGCGTTGCGCAGCGTGTACGGCTCCTGCTGGAGAAACTCCACCAGCGCCAGCAGGTTCTGGTACATCTTCTCCGGACAGTGCCGGGCGATCTCCACCAGGAAGGCGCCCACGGCCTTCGAGGCGGAGTTGTCGCGAGAGAGGGTGTTCAGATCGAGCGCCTTAATCTGCTGAATGATCTCGAAGATTTGAATGTTGTGGTTGTTCTTCAGGTGGTTCACCACCAGCAGCGAGACCACCTGAATCATGGCCTCCTTGCCCTGCAGCAGCTCAATCAGCCGCATGCAGTAGGTGGTCGAGTGGTCGTACCGGTCGAGGGCAGTGCCGATGATGAAGTAGACGTCGGCGGCGAAGTTGTTGAAAGCGCTCCGATTGCCGGCAGAGTTCTCCAGCACTCGGTAGGCGTACTTGGTGACCAGGTTAACCAACTTGGTCAGCTGCGAGGGCGACTCAAAGAGGCGATCGAGATTGAGCATAAAGATTCTGCTGATCACTTTGATCGCCTGGCCCTTGTTGTTCTGGTACTCCTTGCTGGTGCTTCCAGCGGGCTTCTTCTTTTTGCCGCGACCACCGCCACCGACGAAGTTCTCCTCGTTAGATTCACTGACGTTGAACTGCATCTCATTGTCTTCGAAGAAATCGCTGATAGTTAGAAAAAGGTACATCAACATCAGCAGCTCGTTGAGGTACTCGTTTCTCTGCGTGATGTGAAAGTGCTCAAAAAACTCAACCAGCTCTAGTTGAAATTTGATGAGCGCCTTGAGCAACAGGCGCCAGGCCTTATCACGAACCGACTGGTTCAGGCTAGGGTAGTGCTTGATGACGGAGAAGAAGATGTCAAAGTCCTCGAGGATGAACTTGGAGGAGTTGGTGCGCAGGTCCTCCTGGGCGCGGATGATCAGCGACTCCAGCTGGTTGGCCGGGTAGACCTGCTGAACGTGGTACAGCTTGTCGTAGGCGGCCGCCTCGTCCATGTCCTCCGGCATGTCCCCCGTCAGGTCGTCCATTGACTGGGGAATCTCGAAGAGGAACATTGCCCCGTCCATCCTTGACGAAGCTGCTTCGAGGTGGTGGCTGTTGCTGTTGCTGTTAATCACAGAAGATACTCGCCGTTTTGATGAAGTGAAGTGAATCGTGCAACATCAAAGAGGTTGACGCACTGACACTGTGATGGTGAAGAGAAAGAGCGGGCAAAGAAAGCAAACAGAAAAAACAAAAAAAATATCACAACGATCACAGTGTGCCCGGTCGCAGATGAGGTGACGTCGGTGCAACGAGGAAAAACATCTGACCAATCTTTTGATCAGTACAGCGCCTCATCCTCATCACATCATCATCTTAAACGGCCATTCTGTGATATCTTCTTCTTCTTCTTCCGCAAATCACCAACAAGAATGCCAAAAAGTAGCTCTTCAAATGGCGGCTCAGTCTGGTCACGTCTGGCCACACCAGGCGCCAAGTGGGAAGATAAGGTGAGTTGGTTGGACGCCGGTGGTGATTATTTGTTTTGAAAATGACTCTAACATCATCAATCAACCACTTTCACTCCAATCTTAGGATGAATTCCTCGACGTCATCTACTGGGGTCGACAGGTGCTCTCAGTGCTGATGGGCATCATCTGGGGCTACCTAGGGCTGACCGGCGCATTCGGCATCCTCAGCTTTGTGGCCGCCAACTCTGCCGCTGTTTACATTTATTCATGTGAGTTGTTGATCATCTCTAAAATGTGCCTTCTAACCACCCAACTCTTCACTCCAGTAAACTTCAACGAGGAGCAGGAGGACGCAATAACGGGCGTCAAGGAGGGCTTCATGACTGCATTCGCCTCCTTTCTCGTCACCTGGATCATCATCTACACGACACTGTACTTCTAATGCCCTCTAAGCATTTGACCCATCAGCTGTGTTTGCATATCCTCCTCCTCCTTGCTCGGTTTCTTCTAGTTCTCCTTTTCTACTCCTCTTTTGTAAATTTTTGGGTTGTGTTACTGTACAGTGTACATGGTCCACTGCACCTCAATCATCCAGTCATACTGAAAATAATAATAATATTTATATTGGAAAATAATTGAATAGTCCTAAATAATAACAGTTTGAATGGGTGATNGGCGTCAAGGAGGGCTTCATGACTGCATTCGCCTCCTTTCTCGTCACCTGGATCATCATCTACACGACACTCTACTTCTAGTGCCCTCTAAGCATTTGACCCATCAGCTGTGTTTGCATATCCTCCTCCTCCTTGCTCGGTTTCTTCTAGTTCTCCTTTTCTACTCCTCTTTTGTAAATTTTTGGGTTGTGTTACTGTACAGTGTACATGGTCCACTGCACCTCAATCATCCAGTCATACTGAAAATAATAATAATATTTATATTGGAAAATAATTGAATAGTCCTAAATAATAACAGTTTGAATGGGTGATAACAGAGAAGATGAGGTAAGGAAGTAAGAGGTCCTAAATAATAAATAGTCAGAATTTCCAGTCAGAAGAAAGAGAGAAGGTAGATATGCACTGAAGTATGGCATTTATTATGTGAGTTGAAGGAAGTTAAAATGCGATGAATGGTGGGGTTGTGGCGGTGAGAGCCCAATAATAATTCAGTAGCGGGACTTGTTTCGGCTTGAAGAAGAGGAGGAAGAGGACTTGTGGTAATCGCGACTGCTACTGCTGCGGTACTGATACGGAGAACGGCTTCGACTGCGAGCGCCGCCGCTCTCCTCATAACCGCCGCCGCCACCACGGCCACCCTCATCTCGGTAGTCCCGAGAGCGAGGGCGGTAGTCGTCCTGGTGATCTCGGTAGTCCGATCGGTCCCTGTCCCGGTCACGATCACCACCTCGCCGACTATCCTCATATTCATAATCGCGATGACGGTCGCTGCCCCTCTGTCCACTGCCTCCTCTGTAGTCGTAGCGGTTTGAAGAGGATGAAGAAGATAGATATCTGCTGCTGCTGTTGTCATCGTAGCGAGAATCGCGGTAGCTACTCCCACTGCTCGATTTGGCCGAACTTCTCGAGTAGTAGTCGCTGTTGCTGCTGTTGTGATTGCTCACCGTCGTCACTCGTGAGGTAATGTACGACCGAGGCGGCGTGGGAGATCGATTACTGTCAATGTTCGCATCGCGGTACTGCCGAGGACGGCTATCGCCTTCAGCGTAGTAGTCGCCCGTGTTTTGATGTCCATTTCGGTAACGATCTCCTTCTCTTGAGTTGTCTGCTTGATGGTGACCACTTCGGCGATCGTCGTCGGGCGATGATCTCGAGCGACTTCTTCTGCTTCTTCGCGTACTGGAATGACGACTGTCGCCGGGCGTGGGTGAGCGAGAGCGCTTGCTCCTCGAGGAGGAGGAAGACGGCGCCGCCAGTGTTCTTGGCGACTTTTCCAGCTTGATCGGCGTATTGGCGGCAGAGTTCTGCGCGCTGTTGACATTGATCGTCGTCGCAGTGCTGGTGGCGGCAATGGTCGACTTCACAAGCGGTGACGAAGACTTTGAGGCAAGTCCACTAGCCTGGTGCTGCTTCACTCGATTCAGCGCCGATATGACCTCCAACTTTGAGCTGATGCCTCCTCCTCCTCCTCCTGCCCCACCATGGTCAGAGTATTTGATAGGAGAGTTTGTCCTAGAGTCGACGAGTGAGTCCAAGAGACCAGTAGAAACGGAGGAAGGGTTTTCCGCATTTTGAGCAACCAGCTGAGCTCTAGCTTTGACTTTTGCATCGTCCACCGCCCTTCTCGCGCAGTCCACTTTCTCCTCCAGTTCTTCCTGTGACAGCGGAGTTCGTGTGTACAGCTGCAAAATGGTAGTGCATACTTGATTGATGGTCTCCGTGTCGACGCCAAACACCAGATGCCAGGGAGGACGGGTCGGCAGAGGTTCCTATAGTGAAATGAACAAAAAGATTCATTAAAAACTGTGGCTATTCATTAAAACTCAGTTTGCTAGATTTCAACAAGTAAAATCAAGTGCAAATAGAGCAGTTATTGAGAGCTAATTGCTATTGCAGTAGTTAATGGAGAAATACAATCGAAGAAAAGATGATTGCTTTCTGATAATTAAACACTGCAAACACCGAAATCAAGAAAATGAAAAACAAAAATTAACTTACCCTGAGAATGCGTGCACTGAGGTGAATGCAGGCACATGCAATCGTCTCCGGAGAAAAGCGGACAAATACATTCGACTGTAAACTGTCGTTCATGTAACTCCTAAAGGATGGTGAAAAGTTAAGGTTAAGGTTAAGAACGGAAACGAGCAGCAGCAGCAGTGATGGCAATCAGAGCAGCAGGAGAGCACGTTCAATGTGAATTGCGATAATACAGAGAACCAAAGAGCCATTAGAAGTATGGGGAAATATTGTAAATGCATATGACAGCAAACAAACAAACACACGAATGCCTCATCAAGATCGAGTCGGACCAATCGAGAAATCATCACCAGCAGATGAAGCTCTTCAACATCAACAGCCAGTCATCTTCACCGTCGCTTCAATTCGACCAAGGTGCCAGGAGAATAGGAGGATAAACGTGCTAACAGACATGCTGAGGCGTAAAGTAAATCAAAAGCATAAGCAGAAAAGTATAAACAATATAGAAGCTTGGCAAAAATCAAATGAGAGAAAATGCGAGTGAAATCTGCAAATAAAAACAAAAAACTGGAGAAATTAGCTGAATCAGAAATGAATTGGCTGGTGAATTGAAGCGCGATGACAGTGGTCAGCTGCTTGAGATGATGGCGAGAGAAAAAGAGATGTGAAAGTTCAAAACTGCTTTTTGGCTGTGGTAGAGGAAGTGTTACAAACCGGCGGCAATACAAACCACTCAGAAATGACCAAACTCCCGTTGGGAGTTGAGACAAAATCAGTGAGTGAGTGAGAGAGAGAGAGAGCAGTGAAAAGTGGGCTACTTACAAACACAACCAAACGGAAATGCAAGGATGCAAGTTCACTAGCTGCCGCTCCACACGGTCGACTCGATCACACACAGCCGTTGACCGAGAGGGCAACACATACACCGAGGGGCTGGCATGGCTCTCGCATTGTAGGCCATGTTGTTCGCGCATCAAACCAATCATCATCTACCTCTCTCTGTGACCGTGTGTGTGTGAGTGGATGAAGAGAGTTGGTGGTGGTGGAATGTGCGAGGAGAGAGAGAGCGAGCGAGCAACATGTACGGAAATAAATAAACAGAATTAATATGGATGGCAAACAAGTGGAGAAGGGGAAAAGAATTAACTGTAAAACAAGCTAGTAGCAGTAAAGTGCCTTAACAACACGTCCTCAGAACACTGGTCAAGCACTATAAGACACTAGGGGTTAGAAGTGTACACAAAACACCTGCAAACACGGTACTTATCTAATCGTCAAGAAAAAAAATAGAACACATTCCCGATAAGGGNCAGTAAAGTGCCTTAACAACACGTCCTCAGAACACTGGTCAAGCACTCTATGACACTAGGGGTTAGAAGTGTACACAAAACACCTGCAAACACGGTACTTATCTAATCGTCAAGAAAAAAAAATAGAACACATTCCCGATAAGGAAAAAGGCATTCTTATGAGTGAGAGCAAATGATGTTTGCCTAAATCATGGTCTCTTTGTCTCAAGGAACGTTCGAGTGACATGGTGAAGACACACACGCACAGCGACGTTTCATTGAGGAACATGGTTCTTTTAGCGCAATTCACGGTAAACATAAAACTCCGGTCGTTTCAAAAAAAATGTGGTGGGGGAAAGCGCAAGAAAAACTTACCAGGCAGCTTGGATCAGTTCAGCATTCTTGGAGTTGCCCAAAATTTCAGCAACTGTAATAATGTACTGTAAAGAGAGGCGTCGTTTTTGTCACTACTTTGCGGAAAAGGAAAACAGAAATTCAAACCTTGTGAGGGTGTTTGACGTGAACGCAGAAGCCCAACTCCTTGAGAATTCTCCTTTCAGCCTTAATGACATTGTTCTTCAAAGTCACATAAGCTTCGTTTAGGAACATCGGGACAGGCGGTCTAAAACGAAAAAAGTTACAGAATTAGTTGTAAGCTTACATTAAACCTCAGATTGCTAAACAACAAAGTTCACGCAAATAGAGTAGTTATTGCAAGTGAATTGATTTTGCAGTAAATAAAAAATGAAATACTATCTAAGGTAAAGTCGATAGCTTCTAGAAAGTACCTTACTGCAAGTTTATAGAAACGTTGAGAATAAAAACTTACTGATTCAGTCTAATTTGTTTCATATTATGAAACACATTGATGATATCACGAATTCGCCGAGGAGCCTCTTCCACTTTGGATGCGAGAACAACACAGGCCATGGCGGTGATCTCCATTGGAAAGCGGACAAATGATTTGCTGTAGTAGTAGCGTTGAAACAGCACCTGACCAGTGGCCATTGCAACCTGAAAAGTAAATAGAAACTGTTTAACTCACTGAAACCAAATAGAAATCTCCAAACTCTGCAGCTTACTTGAGGTAAACGAAGAAGAACGCCAGATATTTGAATAAGCTTGCACCCAGTGATTCTAAGGTCATTTTCCGTTTCACAGTCAAGACCGTCTATCTGCGAGGGCGTATTCTTGATCGTCTCCTCCGGCAAGATGGGATTCTCAAGGGAAATCACCACCCGCCCGTACCTTGGTCTGTTTGTCATTGTTTCAGGTGGTGCTCTGGTGGCTGCCACTGGCTGCGACGAAGCGGCTGGTGATGAGGCCGCGTGACCGCCATTAGCCGACTCCGAATTGCTGTCATTGTTGCCGGCGCTAGAGTGCTGGCTGCCATCATTGATCACTATCACAGGTGGAATGGATTGATTGGGAATGCGGTGGCAGGGAAACTTTTCCGACTTGATGACTGATTTCAGCGAAGAGGTGGACGCCATGGTGACGATGATGGTGACGACGGAGAGATGGGTCCTTTGCTTTGTAGTCGCCTCAAAGGTGGGGTATGTGGCTTCGTCCTTCGGTGATCAGCCCAGCAATGATGGTGGTGGTCCTCTTCCTCTTCAAAATAGAAATTGCGTTTGTCCGTGGAGTAAATAGAAATCAGCGTTTGGGACGGTTGTTGCACTGGTACACCGCACCACTTTGGCCAGTGTGCTCGTCTCACGCAATCAACACAAAAGTGATCAGGGGAAAATGCTGGGGCCGTCCGCAGATGACGTGCTCCAGACAAAAGTGCCCATTTTGGCGCAAATTCAAATGAACACGTTTATTTGCATGCAAGTCAGTTATTACACAAAACCAAGCATGAAAATACTAAAGAGCGTAAAATATTTGTGGTGGGATAAAAGCGATATGAGTGCATATAAAAAATAGATATATCAATGATGCAAAAAAGGTTTTGAAGTGTGCATGCTAGGTGTGCTATGAGTGTGTGTGTGTGTGTTATGGGGTTAGGACATTCTCATGTTGGTCGTTGTGGGTCAGCGACATCACCCGACTCGTTTCTAGGAAGGTGTGGGTAGATGGTGAGCGGCAATATATATTTCTGGAGCACTGGGTGCGGATGTGCGGCTTCATTTAATTTGCGATGAGCATCCTGAATTTGCCTCAGGTGCTGTCGCTGCGCTTCAAGTAACTCTTCGCTGGGGTTCTCGGGTAAGCCGACTAGTTTGCTGTAGGTATAAGGGTTATTATTCGACAGATTTTGTTGCCCTCCTACTTGTTGCTGGCTTACACTTTGCTTTTGCTGAGCCTGCTGAGCTGCCATTGGTGCTGCTGATTGCCGCTGCTGGTGAACTGGTGCGGTTCTCTGCGTTTGAACCACTCTGGGACCGTTTCCATGGGCAAGTGCGCCAGACTGCGATTTCTGTTGATGCTGCTGCTGAACCTGTGATTGCGGTGTCGGTATCGGCGCCAGAGGTGTTGGTCGCTGTTGATGATTAGGCGTCACAGGTGCTGCTGCTGTTTGAGCCACTCGGGGCCCATTTCCATGGGCAAGCACACCAGACTGGGAATTCTGCTGCTGATGCAATTGCTGTGCTTGCTGTTGCCGTGTCGGAGTTGGTCGCTGATGGTGAGTTGCCGTCAGAGGTGTTGTTGCTGTTTGCACCACTCGGGATCCGTTGGCAAGCACACCAGAATGTGAATTCTGTTGTTGCTGAACCTGTGGGTGCTGTTGCCGTGTCTGAATTGGTCGCTCTTGTTGAGTTGGTGTCAGAGGTGCTGGTGTTTGCACCACTCGGGATCCGTAGGCAGGCACACCAGAATGTGATTGCTGATGCTGCTGCTGAACTCGTGTTTGCTGTTGCTGTGTCAGAACCATCGGTACCATAGGTGCTGGTCGATGTTGTTGAATGGTCATCAGAGGTGCTGCAGTGGGCATCACTCGGGATCCTTTGGCAAGCACGATATACTGCGATTGCTGCTGCTGCACTGGTAGTGGCTGCTGAAATTGATGTGGCCTTTGTTGTTGAATGGTCGTCATTGGTGCTACTGTTCGCACCACTCCGGGTCCATTGACGAGTACGCCTGACTGTGACTGCTGCTGATGCTGCTGCCTGGGCGTTCCTTGCGAGATCTGCATAACGCTTTTCTTAACACTTACAGCCTGATAGAAAGTATGAGTGTTTGTAAGTTGCCGCTGTAAGGGCTGCTGCTGCTGCTGTACGTTCGATCCACCGATGAAAACAGCGGAGGCGGCTGATGAGCACTGCTGTCGGCGCAGTTGCTGCTGAACAATTTGCTGCTGCTGTAAGCGCTGCTGTATACTGGAACTTCCTAACGTGGCATTACTGAGTGAGCTGGGCTGAACTGGCGTCGACATCTGCTGCGGCGACTGCCTTGCCACTTCCGATAAAATTAGTGTCCTCTTGCGGCGGGACTGAGCTGACAGAGTGGTGAGCGGTATGCTGCCGCTGCCGCTGGTCGGTGCAACTGAAGATGCTGTAGTTGTTGTTGAAGATGGAATGTGCACTCTATAGTTATTACCGATAACTGAGGACAGTTGCTTAGCGGCAATTCGCGCGGCATCTATTTCTCTCGGCAGGTAGACGATTGGCGCATAGGTCCCGTCTGACAATTTCACTTGTGGTCGTGCAACCCACGGCCCGCAAATGGGAAGCTGCTGATGAGCTGATGAGCCGAAGAGCAGAGGACCTGAGGACCCTCCTGCACTCTGACCGACCGACTGCGGCACAGTGATTGCTGACACTGGAGTAGTGGTCTGCAGTTGTCGTGTTTGTTGCGGTGTTGATGGTGCCATAGGCGCTGCCGCAGACGGTGATTGCTGAGGAGCGCCGCTGTTGACCTGCCCTGATGTGCTGCTGGTCGTTTTCGCCCTCTTTGCCGGTGGATCACTGCTTCCGCTGTACGATTGCAAAGTTTTCCGGCAAAGTTGCGCTGGCAAATTTACACCGGCAGGGCTGCTTCCTGTCTGTGAGATTGTGGTGGTGGTGGAGGTGGATTGAGTCTGACAGGGCTGTTGTTGTTGTTGTTGTTGCTTTTGGTGCACCTGAACACTTGAAGGTGAAGTAGTGTGCGCAGAGGTTCGTTCCGGAGTGGCGACTGGCTGAGTGGACTGCCGTGAATCGGATCTGGGCGGTGTAGCAGCCACTGGAGGGGGCATCGAATCTACGTCCATGGCAGTTGTTGTTGCCTGGCCATCATCATCTGACGCCTGTGCGCCCTCTGCCTCCGCTCTCTGCCTATCCTCTTCATCCATCTTTAGTTTAACGTGCATACTATGATGAGCCATCAACTCAAAGTCATCGTAGAAGGGCTCATTGCAGAAGAAACAATGAAAGGTGAAGCATTTCCGAAGTTCTCTGTGGAAGAGTAAACTTTCAAACTCGGGATATGCTTCACCGCAGTTCTCGCAACGGAACATGTACTTATAGCTGCGTATAAAGGCGCGCTTGCGAGGTTTTCCGTTTGGTAGTTCTTCAGCGGGCAGTCCATCATCCGGGGAATCAATGGTATGCGCCTCTCTGCAGTGATGAGTAAACTTGCGGTTGCATTGACTGGAAAATGTACACTCCTTTGTGGCAGTGCAGTAGTAGACTCGAGATGATGCAGCAATCGCCTCCTCTTCTTTGGTCAGGGTCAATAAACAAACGCCCTCCTCATCGTCTTTATCCTTGGGAAATCCCAGTAAATCGTTAACTGACTCTGAAGTGGACGATCCATTATGCGCAGAACTTCCTCCTGAACTCTTTGAGCAGTTTCGGCTCTCAACAAAGGAAGCGTTATCTTTTTGAAGCGGTGATGCTGCCGCCTTTGGCGTAGAGCGTGTATCTGGTATTGGCTGCTCTTTCGGGCTCGGCAGTGTTGATGATGATGGCTGGCGGTCACTGAGGACGGCAGCAGGCAGTGGCGATTCGTCCGTTGGCAAAGTGGCATTTAGCACCGCTAAACCCGGATCGTCGGTGAGTGTTGACTGTTCAGGTGATTCATCGATTTGAGCCGTCTCCGGAATCACTGCGGATAAGTCTGTTGAGGCAGCAGCAGTGCTGTTGTCGAGCTGACCTACATTGCTTGAGGTGTTTTCATCGTCAGTTTTAGATGTGGTCTCCAAGGCTGCCTCTTCACTGACGCCTGCTGTTGAAGCCTCGAGACAAGTAGTAGTGTCCGTCGAAAATTGAGTTTTCACTTCCAAAACCGAAGCGGTCTTTCCATCTGAGGCGCACTTTGCGCAACCTTTGCAGTCGGAAAGTTCACATTTCGGCATGTGGACACTGTAAACAAAGAGTAAAATGATAAAATTAAGAAAAGTGTGAAAAGGCGTTCTGGTGATAAAAAACATACACGAGGTGGTCCATTAGTTCGACGACGGTGGGAAAGGCGGACTGGCACTTGCTGCACACCCAATCACTGGCGGCGATGGTGGGCAGCGAGTCGCCAGACTGTGGTGCTGCTTCACTGGCGAACCCTTTGCTGTCACCATCGCTGTGCTTCGATTTGGAATCATCAAGTGATGTTGGAGGAGGAGTGAGCTCTTTGTTGGCTTCCAAAGAGGTGGTCGTCGCACAAGCCCTTCCCCGTCGTGAAGTCCGCCTCTTGCTACCACTTTTGGAAGCATGCGTGTCCGCCGAGTCGATAGCTGCATCAGGAAGCTTAGCAGTTGTGGCGACATTGTGAGCTTCCTGTGCTTGGTTGGTACCTGAAAAAAGTTTATGGAAGAGATATAATAAATTGGATTCAAAATGATAGTATTTACCTAAATTGCAATTCTCTTTATCAGAAGTAGATTCAGATTTAGAGATATTCGGTGAAAAGGTGAAATCGGCCGACAACTCGTTGGCTTCTTGGTGCTGCTTCATATGATTAACATAGCCCGCTCGATTCGTCAAAGTAATGCCGCACACTTCACAGGGCTTATAAAAGATGCCTCTCTGATTAGGTGTCACACCTTCGGAGCTGCTATTCATCTCCACATCCTTCTGCTGTTCAGCATTGCTCGGGGAAGAGCTTTCAGCCACCACTGGTGCTTCGTCCATTGCCATTTTTTCAGCCAAATCTTCGGATGGCTCTTCAGCACGGTTCTCAATGGGCTGTCTTTCAATTTGTTTCTTAGCCTGATCCTTGGCATGCACTGACTCCACTTTTCCCTCAGACTGGCTTGAAAACGACGGCAACTTACTTTTTGGTGCTTGCAGATCGCAGTTCCACCCTCCATTCGTAGTTTTTTTAATTATGAGCGTTTCATGCAGTTTTCGCTCATTCACCACTGGTTCAGCCGTCACTGGCTCATTTGCCGCTGGTTCGTCCACAGTTGGTTCAGCCGTCTCCGGTTCATCTTCCACTGGTACATCCACTGGTGCAGTTTCCACCTTAGCAATTAAGTCCTTATCATCCTCTTTATTTTCAACCTCTTCATCGGAATTTGGCTCTTCTTTGATATAAGAGGTTCGCCTGACATACTTTTTTGGTTCTTTGAACT